TATTCTTGTTCTAAATGGTTCTGGAGGAGTTGGAAGCCTAGTCATTCAGGTTTTTACTCTCCAAATTACTTCTAACAGTATTTTAAAGTTTCTCCCCTCTTTGCATCATACATATCAAATAACTTTTGATATGATATCAAATGGTATATAAAGATTTTGCTTCTTAAGCAATGAACGATCGGTGACTAAATAATTTTATTGTTATCTTCAATGACCTACAGCTAGCCAAGCAAGTCTTTGGAGCTTCGAGAGTGGCTGCCACTTCAAGCACTAGAAATTTGGACCTATTGAAAAGCTTGGGAGCTGATTTGGCTATTGACTATACAAAAGAAAACTTTGAAGATTTGTCAGAAAAATTTGATGTGGTCTTTGATGCCATTGGTAAAAGTCTAAACACCTCTATAAGTTTTGAGAAATACTTGCATTCTAAATTTGTATTTCATATGGAAAGTGGTTATGAAATGCTGATAAAAAGGTGTAAAGATAAAGAAAATGTTTGATTGGTTGAGGATGATTTGCAGGGCAATGTGAGAGGGCAGTGAAGGCTGTGAAAGAAGGTGGCAGTGTGGTGGCACTGACAGGAGGTGTTACTCCACCTGGTTTCAGATTTGTGGTAACTTCGAATGGAGGTGTTCTTAGGAAACTAAACCCTTACTTAGAAAGTGGAAAGGTGAAGGCAATTGTAGACCCCAAAGGTCCATTCTCCTTTCCTCAGCTTGCTGAAGCTTTCTCTTATCTAGAAACGAATCGAGCCACTGGAAAGGTTGTTATACACCCCATCCCCTGAATCAGATAAAAGGGATAGACAATTTTGCTATGTCTAGTAACTTCATATTCTATATTAATCACTTTTTTTATATGAATGGTGAACATCATATTGGATTGCCACCAATTAAAACCAAATTAGGAAACAACAAATAACAATGGAATTGGGTAGGAAATCTACAGAAATATTCTATAATCCTAGATTGTCAGATGAATTAAGTAAACTTCAAGAAAAAGATTTATTTCACAAGATTATAACAAGATAACATAAGGGGAATTTTAATTTTAAAAGTCAACACTATCAAATTTATAGTTTGAGCATGTGAATTAATCCAAAGTAAAATTCAATGTTAACTTAATAGTTTCAAACTATTTACAAAGTAAACAAAAAAGTTAAGATTTTGCCTCCATTAAAATAATTTGAAGCATTAAACAAAAAAAAATTGGGTTCCTGGTGATAGTTGTACGTAGAACTGTTATCTAAAGTCTTTTATGTTTTATTTATTTTGATAATCAATGTCATAGGTTGAATTTTAATTAAAATAATTATTTAATTTAAGGATCTTTGAACTTGATAGAGGCTGGTAACCGAGGTCATAGATCCTTTTCTGCTTTGGTTCTTACTACAACCGTTGTCTAAAGTCTGTGTTTTTCTAAAAGATTGTTCTCTTATTTGTCAATCCATTGGTCGTCTTCAAACTCATGAGCCTTAACACCACGAACAACCATATGAACTTAATTGAACCGACATACAAAAGAGTCATTGCATCAGTGGACATTGTCTCATACACATGCATCTAGGCAAAAACTTTTGTGTCAACATTGCAAATCATGTACATTAATTTGTCTTCTTTCGTCGATCTTCCATGGTGGAATTGAATACATGATCAGTTCAGGAGACAATTGGAAAGTCTATTATTTTGTCGTGTCATGTCCATGTTGTATAACTTCGAAAAAAACCATCACAGATAAGATGTTCCATAATTTTGGTAGCATTCAACTTTCTCTTATTCAAAAAGTTTACACAAGGACATATAAACTTCACTTCATCATCACTTCTACCCTCGTTACGTTGCGCAAATTGTATAAATTCTTCTACTCCTCTCTCATATTCAACATTGATTGGTGGTGAATTAATTCAATCTCGATCCATAGGTATATATACTAAAATTATTCACACAATTTCAATAATCTTGAATGATCACTTTGATTGTCTTTGTATTCAATGTTTGATTTTAGCTAATTCAAGCGATTCACTTTCTTTAGTTTATTGAACATATAAATTTTAAACAACATATCTAAAATTTCACGAAATTTTGTCAAGATTTTGCATTGGTCTTCAGGTTACACGAATGAAAATGATTATACACTACAATCAAATATTAACCCAAAGGTCAATACAAGACAAAGTTGCAAATATTCATGAAATTTAAGACATGTATACAAAAATTTATATGCATTAATAAACTATGAAAAAGTGATTACCACTAGTAAAAAAAGTGGTATCTAACGCGCCAAATACGCTTCGGTTAAAAAAAAACCGAAGTATACAAACTTATATACCTCGGTTACTGGATGACCCGAAGCAGAATGCAGATATTGCCTCTGTTACTGGATGACCCGAGACCTATACCTCTGCACATAACACTGCAAATCAGACTGGCAGCTTTTTGAAAAACATTTATACCTCGGTTAGCTACAAAACTGGTGCCTATACACGTTTCAACTTCAGGTGTAGATTTGAACCGGTGCCATATGCTATTATTTCGGGTATAACTTTCGTGCCATATGCTATTATTTCGTAGCCCAGCAGCTTCCTCTTCCCTCTCGTGCTGTCACATTCTTATGCGCAGCGTCTTCTTCCTCTGCACTCCCGTTCTTGCCTGCCTCCTCCCTTCGTCGTCGCGCCTGCCGCTTGGGGTTGGCCTCCTCGGTCGCGCCTCCTCCCGTCGTCGCGCCTGCCGCTTGGGGTTGGCCTCCTCGGTCGGGCCTCCTCCTGTCGCACCTCCTCCCGTCGTCGCGCCAATGCTCGCGCCTCCTCTGTATCTTCATCTTCATCCACCGCTCCAGATCCGCCGCTCCAGATCCGCCGCTCCAGATCCACCGCTCCAGATCCACCGTCGCTGCCTCCCCGCTGTCGTCTCTGTTGCCGCCATGCCGCGTTGTCCTGGGTTTTTGGATCTTGTTCTTGGTCTTCTTTTTGGATCCAGAGACATTGGAAATACCATTTTCAAATAAAATCCTCCACTATCAATCTTGTTCTTGGTTTTGTTCTTGATCCAGAGACATTTTTGTTGTTCAATTTTTCAGTGATGAGGACTCTTTCATGGACTCTTCGAAACGGTGGGAGAGTATAGCAGGGGATTAATAAAAAAAAAACCAAAACCTTATGAGATCGGTTACAGTGACTCGAGACGTAATCTTATCCCTTTACGCCTCGGTTCATAACCGAGGCATAAAACCTACCTCTTTTTACCTCGTTCGTATACGCCTCGGTCGTAGAACCGGTGTCTATAAACAATAATAACCGGTGTCATTTCATGTTATTGCACTAGTGTACTTTTCTTAAACTATCCAACCGAACAATTCAAGATTCAATACTTTTAAATTATTTGTATCGTATCCTTTTATATTCATTTAAAAAATACATTTCTTCAACAAAATAGGAGAGAGTAAATAACTTTTGTATTAAATCTCAAATCGGAAACTAAGGCTAATTCAATACAACAATATATTTAAGCATACAATTAATCACATATCCAACATGCAAAAAAAGAACAACCTACTATAATATTATATAAATTACATGCTCATATTAAAAAGTAAATTTTAAACATAATAATAGGAACCTATGAGTGTGAAAGGCGCACAACAATGAAGAACAGTGCAACAAACCATGTTTTGGAACAATACAAAATCCCACCACAAAAATAGAATACTAGTACACAAATACAAACAACATACTAGTCTTAAGAACCAAAGCAAACTAAAAAATGCACAAAAAAGGTCACAAACGAAGGAACTAAAACTCACCACGTACGGGCGAAGAGTTGTAGTCACAAACAAAGAAAGAGGTGCAAGACAACTTTGGACCAATGAGGACGACAAACCAGTGACAATGGTGTTTGATGCAATGACCACGACGTTCGGAGAAATGACAAAGCACAAGCATAACGACGCTAGTTCACATCGAAGCAATGAAGAAGAAAAGTGTAGATGTGTCTTTGCCTTTTCACGAATTTTTAACCCTAGAATTACATATTGCCTCGATTATTATAATAACCAAAGCAATCATAGGTATATGGCATTAATTTTACTAACAACTGCTGCCTAAAGTCTGCTGAAAAAATTAAGAATTTCAGTGACAATTTTGAAATTTAGTNATAAAATTGATAAAATAATAACTTTAGTTTAAAAAATTATTTAAAAAATAAAATTGGGAAATAAATATAAACACAAAAAATAAGGAATTTTTTATATATATAAGTATAAATATAGATAAATTTTAATCAAATCTCATTTTAAGAATCACTTTCCATACCCCTTTTAAGGATTTGAAATTACAATTATGCACTATTCTATTCAAGCATAATACAACAAATAAATATATTAAAATTAATCTTTAGCAATTTAACATATTAAAAATATTTTATTCAAATACAACTATAAATACTACTTCCCAAATCTCTCATTAGAATTTAACATCGAGTATTTAAATAACTTTTTAAGCATTTATTTGAAAAAGAATTACATGGTAGTGATTTTAATTAATTGAACGAAATTATTCATTAATTTCTTTTGATAATATTTTTAGCTTATTTTCAAATATAATTTGAATTTCCTGTATGAATTAAAATTTATCAGTACCTGTAATATACTAACTATATATATTATATGCAAAAAAAGTTAGTAACATGAACTAGTCACAAAGTTAAATAATTCTAATTGTATTTACCAAAATGTTAACAACAAAAAAAAATGAAAAAAAAAGACGTAAATTGATATTAGACGTGGAGCTTTCTAGAGGTTATCCCTATTTGTAGTTTACTAGCACGGCGTCGTTTTTACACACATTGAGGTTATTTAGAACTTTCTGTATCCACCCGCTTTTCTACGCACATTCGAGGTATAATTACGTACATTTTGAATCGTTATTATTTTAGTTTTTAATCAAAGAAATGAGGTGAAATGGTATATTTTGCGTGGTGTGGAGCTAATGTACTAAACAAAAACACTAACGATATAACCGAACCAAAGGGTGGTTGGTTGAAGCAGAGATAAGCGTGAAGTGATAAGCAAAACATGTCTCTCTGTGCTTCATTCTCCACCACAACTTCACGCCTCACTTCCCTTCCTTCTTCACTCTCTTCAAGTTCTCCGCTTTCTCTCAGATTTTCCTTCACTTTCCGGGAAAACAGAATCCCAGTTAAATCTCTGAAGGACCCATTTGCAGCAAGATCTGGAAGAGTATTGGTAAAGGCTCAGGCTACTGCTCCTGCTTCTTCTGAGGCTGTGAAACTCACACCTGTGCCTTCTGAGATGAAGGCATGGGTGTATGGGGAATATGGGGGTGTGGATGTTTTGAAGCTGGACTCCAATGTTGCTGTGCCTGATGTGAAAGAGGATCAGGTCCTTGTCAAAGTTGCTGCTGCTGCTCTTAATCCTGTTGATGGCAAGAGAAGGCAGGGAAAGTTTAAGGCCACCGATTCTCCTCTTCCGGTCATTCACTTTCTTTTAACTTTATTCATTTTCTCTTCTCTCTTTCTCTGTGTGTATATTAACTGGGTAATGAAATCAAATTTGGTTTTGTTTGTTCATAGACTGTTCCGGGCTATGATGTTGCGGGAGTGGTGGTGAAGGTTGGTAGCGAAGTGAAGGACTTTAAAGTGGGTGATGAAGTGTATGGAAATGTAAATGAGAAAGCTTTAGAAGGGCCAAAGCAATTCGGGTCTTTGGCAGAGTACACCGCTGTTGAAGAGAAACTATTGGCAGCAAAACCTAAGAACATTGACTTTGCTCAGGCTGCTGCTCTTCCTCTAGCAATTGAAACTGCTTATGAGGGTTTGGAGAGGACTGGATTTTCTCCTGGTAAATCTATTCTTGTTCTAAATGGTTCTGGAGGAGTTGGAAGCCTAGTCATTCAGGTTTTTACTCTCCAAATTACTTCTAACAGTATTTTAAAGTTTCTCCCCTCTTTGCATCATACATATCAAATAACTTTTGATATGATATCAAATGGTATATAAAGATTTTGCTTCTTAAGCAATGAACGATCGGTGACTAAATAATTTTATTGTTATCTTCAATGACCTACAGCTAGCCAAGCAAGTCTTTGGAGCTTCGAGAGTGGCTGCCACTTCAAGCACTAGAAATTTGGACCTATTGAAAAGCTTGGGAGCTGATTTGGCTATTGACTATACAAAAGAAAACTTTGAAGATTTGTCAGAAAAATTTGATGTGGTCTTTGATGCCATTGGTAAAAGTCTAAACACCTCTATAAGTTTTGAGAAATACTTGCATTCTAAATTTGTATTTCATATGGAAAGTGGTTATGAAATGCTGATAAAAAGGTGTAAAGATAAAGAAAATGTTTGATTGGTTGAGGATGATTTGCAGGGCAATGTGAGAGGGCAGTGAAGGCTGTGAAAGAAGGTGGCAGTGTGGTGGCACTGACAGGAGGTGTTACTCCACCTGGTTTCAGATTTGTGGTAACTTCGAATGGAGGTGTTCTTAGGAAACTAAACCCTTACTTAGAAAGTGGAAAGGTGAAGGCAATTGTAGACCCCAAAGGTCCATTCTCCTTTCCTCAGCTTGCTGAAGCTTTCTCTTATCTAGAAACGAATCGAGCCACTGGAAAGGTTGTTATACACCCCATCCCCTGAATCAGATAAAAGGGATAGACAATTTTGCTATGTCTAGTAACTTCATATTCTATATTAATCACTTTTTTTATATGAATGGTGAACATCATATTGGATTGCCACCAATTAAAACCAAATTAGGAAACAACAAATAACAATGGAATTGGGTAGGAAATCTACAGAAATATTCTATAATCCTAGATTGTCAGATGAATTAAGTAAACTTCAAGAAAAAGATTTATTTCACAAGATTATAACAAGATAACATAAGGGGAATTTTAATTTTAAAAGTCAACACTATCAAATTTATAGTTTGAGCATGTGAATTAATCCAAAGTAAAATTCAATGTTAACTTAATAGTTTCAAACTATTTACAAAGTAAACAAAAAAGTTAAGATTTTGCCTCCATTAAAATAATTTGAAGCATTAAACAAAAAAAAATTGGGTTCCTGGTGATAGTTGTACGTAGAACTGTTATCTAAAGTCTTTTATGTTTTATTTATTTTGATAATCAATGTCATAGGTTGAATTTTAATTAAAATAATTATTTAATTTAAGGATCTTTGAACTTGATAGAGGCTGGTAACCGAGGTCATAGATCCTTTTCTGCTTTGGTTCTTACTACAACCGTTGTCTAAAGTCTGTGTTTTTCTAAAAGATTGTTCTCTTATTTGTCAATCCATTGGTCGTCTTCAAACTCATGAGCCTTAACACCACGAACAACCATATGAACTTAATTGAACCGACATACAAAAGAGTCATTGCATCAGTGGACATTGTCTCATACACATGCATCTAGGCAAAAACTTTTGTGTCAACATTGCAAATCATGTACATTAATTTGTCTTCTTTCGTCGATCTTCCATGGTGGAATTGAATACATGATCAGTTCAGGAGACAATTGGAAAGTCTATTATTTTGTCGTGTCATGTCCATGTTGTATAACTTCGAAAAAAACCATCACAGATAAGATGTTCCATAATTTTGGTAGCATTCAACTTTCTCTTATTCAAAAAGTTTACACAAGGACATATAAACTTCACTTCATCATCACTTCTACCCTCGTTACGTTGCGCAAATTGTATAAATTCTTCTACTCCTCTCTCATATTCAACATTGATTGGTGGTGAATTAATTCAATCTCGATCCATAGGTATATATACTAAAATTATTCACACAATTTCAATAATCTTGAATGATCACTTTGATTGTCTTTGTATTCAATGTTTGATTTTAGCTAATTCAAGCGATTCACTTTCTTTAGTTTATTGAACATATAAATTTTAAACAACATATCTAAAATTTCACGAAATTTTGTCAAGATTTTGCATTGGTCTTCAGGTTACACGAATGAAAATGATTATACACTACAATCAAATATTAACCCAAAGGTCAATACAAGACAAAGTTGCAAATATTCATGAAATTTAAGACATGTATACAAAAATTTATATGCATTAATAAACTATGAAAAAGTGATTACCACTAGTAAAAAAAGTGGTATCTAACGCGCCAAATACGCTTCGGTTAAAAAAAAACCGAAGTATACAAACTTATATACCTCGGTTACTGGATGACCCGAAGCAGAATGCAGATATTGCCTCTGTTACTGGATGACCCGAGACCTATACCTCTGCACATAACACTGCAAATCAGACTGGCAGCTTTTTGAAAAACATTTATACCTCGGTTAGCTACAAAACTGGTGCCTATACACGTTTCAACTTCAGGTGTAGATTTGAACCGGTGCCATATGCTATTATTTCGGGTATAACTTTCGTGCCATATGCTATTATTTCGTAGCCCAGCAGCTTCCTCTTCCCTCTCGTGCTGTCACATTCTTATGCGCAGCGTCTTCTTCCTCTGCACTCCCGTTCTTGCCTGCCTCCTCCCTTCGTCGTCGCGCCTGCCGCTTGGGGTTGGCCTCCTCGGTCGCGCCTCCTCCCGTCGTCGCGCCTGCCGCTTGGGGTTGGCCTCCTCGGTCGGGCCTCCTCCTGTCGCACCTCCTCCCGTCGTCGCGCCAATGCTCGCGCCTCCTCTGTATCTTCATCTTCATCCACCGCTCCAGATCCGCCGCTCCAGATCCGCCGCTCCAGATCCACCGCTCCAGATCCACCGTCGCTGCCTCCCCGCTGTCGTCTCTGTTGCCGCCATGCCGCGTTGTCCTGGGTTTTTGGATCTTGTTCTTGGTCTTCTTTTTGGATCCAGAGACATTGGAAATACCATTTTCAAATAAAATCCTCCACTATCAATCTTGTTCTTGGTTTTGTTCTTGATCCAGAGACATTTTTGTTGTTCAATTTTTCAGTGATGAGGACTCTTTCATGGACTCTTCGAAACGGTGGGAGAGTATAGCAGGGGATTAATAAAAAAAAAACCAAAACCTTATGAGATCGGTTACAGTGACTCGAGACGTAATCTTATCCCTTTACGCCTCGGTTCATAACCGAGGCATAAAACCTACCTCTTTTTACCTCGTTCGTATACGCCTCGGTCGTAGAACCGGTGTCTATAAACAATAATAACCGGTGTCATTTCATGTTATTGCACTAGTGTACTTTTCTTAAACTATCCAACCGAACAATTCAAGATTCAATACTTTTAAATTATTTGTATCGTATCCTTTTATATTCATTTAAAAAATACATTTCTTCAACAAAATAGGAGAGAGTAAATAACTTTTGTATTAAATCTCAAAACGGAAACTAAGGCTAATTCAATACAACAATATATTTAAGCATACAATTAATCACATATCCAACATGCAAAAAAAGAACAACCTACTATAATATTATATAAATTACATGCTCATATTAAAAAGTAAATTTTAAACATAATAATAGGAACCTATGAGTGTGAAAGGCGCACAACAATGAAGAACAGTGCAACAAACCATGTTTTGGAACAATACAAAATCCCACCACAAAAATAGAATACTAGTACACAAATACAAACAACATACTAGTCTTAAGAACCAAAGAAAACTAAAAAATGCACAAAAAAGGTCACAAACGAAGGAACTAAAACTCACCACGTACGGGCGAAGAGTTGTAGTCACAAACAAAGAAAGAGGTGCAAGACAACTTTGGACCAATGAGGACGACAAACCAGTGACAATGGTGTTTGATGCAATGACCACGACGTTCGGAGAAATGACAAAGCACAAGCATAACGACGCTAGTTCACATCGAAGCAATGAAGAAGAAAAGTGTAGATGTGTCTTTGCCTTTTCACGAATTTTTAACCCTAGAATTACATATTGCCTCGATTATTATAATAACCAAAGCAATCATAGGTATATGGCATTAATTTTACTAACAACTGCTGCCTAAAGTCTGCTGAAAAAATTAAGAATTTCAGTGACAATTTTGAAATTTAGTTCAAAGTTTTAGTCTAGGTTCTTTGTGAAACCGAAACATAAAGTCTCTATGGCACCGGTTCTCATAAACACTGAGGCCATAGGTATCATTTAGACAATAAATAAAATAAAATAGACTTTAGGCAAGGAGTTGCAAAGGCTTGTTTAAAGTCCCTTTAGTTTAAAATGTTAGTTTCAGTGCGGTTGTCAGTTTCTTAGGACCATAAGACAATGATTCAGTAAATAAAAAAAGACATAGGCCTTGTTCACGCATTTTTTTTGAAAATTTGTGCTTATCTGGAACCCTTTAGGAATCCCTTATTTTTTAAGTGAGGCCAAAACTACATATTGTTTTGGGTTTTTTTAACCAAGGCATATGTTCACAAAAATTGCGAAAATGTCACTATGTCATTTTATGCTTTGGTTTTGCTAAAATTGAACCATAATAGTGATTGTCTTGGGATTTTGGGTTAGAGATGGAGTCACTTACTTATGTGGGTTAAACACATGTCTCATTAATTATGTTTCAAGGATAATCCTCTCAAAGAACCCATTAAGATTCATCAAACAAGAGCATTGGAAAATAAATGGGTGTTCAAAATTGAAACCATAAGAGAATAACTTAGCCATGGCACTAAAAAATAACTCACATTGATGACATATTGATTGTTCCACTACAAAAAAAATTGATATTCTATGAAGGTTTTTATTCCAATTTGTGAGGGTTTTTATCCTCTCCAAATTAATTTGCAAGGGTTTTTTAAACCTCCACTGTTAGAGTCGCCACAACCTTTTTGCAGAGGTTTATGATGACCTATGGTATCAGATTTATATAGTGGAGATTTTTTTGTGGAGGATTTTAACCTCTTGTGTTAGTGACTATTATTTTGTTGAGGTTTGAAACCTCTTTTATTTATAATTACCTACCTACACTCAAAATTTCTTAATTTAATGAAATTTGTTATTTATAATAAGAAATATATAAAATTGTACAATACACAAAAATTAACTAAAAATAATTTTATTGATGATTTAAGCTAAAGTATATTAATTGAAAATTACAATATAAATATAAAAAAAAATACATAATGTCTAAAGAACATTGCAAGATTGACTAAAAAATCTAGCATGGTCGAAAACAAGTAGCTAATTAAAAACACATGGGTTGTTGATGACCTAAACAAAGTCATTAGAAAACATTGTCATGCTTTAGCTTTAACTTTCAAACCAATATATTTTGAACTCATTGAGTTTGTTGAGCTTTCCGGTACTTTTACTATTTGGTAGGTACTTCCAACAGTGTTTGTGAAATCCACTAATTTTTTTAGAGCATCTTCTAATGCAAGCCTGCAACAAAGCCAGCAAACAAGTAATAAAAAGATACATTATTTACACAATGCTTCATACATTATGAAATAGAAAAAAAATATGTGATTTGTAACTGAGATAATAATTAGTATGATATGTAATGTGAATGAAACAAACAAAGAAAGTTAAAGCTAAGAAAAGAAAATGTAAAGGGTTGCCACATGTGGCATCATTCATCTAAACTTTTACACACAAGTTCAATCCTCTCACAAGCAAATTTCTTTTCAATAAAAGAGGAGATAACTGAATTTTGACATAACATTAGGAAAGTAAACTCTGTGAGAAAGAAATAAAGAGATTAGTATAACAAAGTCTTGCTAGAAATAGTCTTCAGGTACA